CCCCTGTTGCCGGAGGGTTGCGTCTTTGACCTTCTTGTGTACACCGAGATGGACGCGGAGTTGCCGTCCAACACGTGGGAACTGAGTGACCCACGCCTCATCCCATGCAGCAGTGAGGTCAAGTTGCGCTCATTTACCACAAACTTCCATCGAGTGAACGCGTCTGTAACGTACCGAGAAGACGCGGCCTGACAAGAAACAAATAGAAGGGGGTGGGAGGCGAAAGAGAGTGAAGGAGACGGATAGAATGAGAGAGTGAGTATGAGAGAGAAACTGTGCGTGGGTGTGTTTACGAATAGCGATGGATGCTCCTTGTACCTGCTCTCACGTTGTACTGCTATCAGAGAAGAACAGACGAGGGAGTGTTCCCTCCCCTCTCCCTTTTTTTCTCATTCCTCATTTTACCCACTTTCTCTTGCTCTCACGCTGTACGCTATTATCTTTTCTCTCTGCGTCTTTTGCGCCCTCCACCTCTTTGACCACCCACACACACACACACGGCTGCCGCACATACAGCTGCTGCTACAGGAAGAGAAGCAGACGAGGGGAGGGGAAAAGGAGTAGTGGCACGTGGAAGTTAGGAAGGGAAATTAAAGAAGCATCCGCCTAAACAACCGAAAAGAAGTCCGGGAGTGGAGAGAGAAGGAACCACCAACATAAAAATAAAGAGGGAGAGGGAGATAGAAGTAAACAGGCATGGCGAAGGGTAAAAAGAAGGGGCCTGTTGATGTATTTGCCACTTTGGGATCTTCGGGCCGAATAGAGGCGGCGGGCGACACTGAATCGACAGACATGCGCCCTGCGGAAATGCTGGACACAGCATTGGTCATCACACCTGCCATCCCACGCGTAGAAGTGAGCCTCAACATTCAGTTCCGATGCACCGTCCCGATTGTTGAGGGGGACATGCTTCAGCTGTACCTGCCCGGATTTCGCGGCAAGGCCTCCCTCTTTACGCCTGAATTTTCACCCATACAGGCCACGAAGTCGTTGCGGCAGTTCCGTGGCTACTGGTCCGGTGAAGGGGCGAAAAAAGGGAAAGGCCCTGGGAAGCAGTTGCTGCTGCTCAAATGCGTTCATCGTGTAGAGGCACAACAGCTCGTCGCGATCGTCGTTCCACGCTCTCTGAGACTGATGTCCCCCGACAAACTGGCACAGAACTCGTCTAAAATCAAGATAAGTGGCGTGGTAAAGCATGCTGAGGGTGGCAAGATCCTGAAACAGGTATTTGTGTCTTCCACGGAGGTGAAAAAGAGACATGTGTTGGAGGAAATTAAGGATTACAAGTTACTTATCTCGGAGTTGGACAAAATTAGTGGATTAGAAGACGTTGACGCACATGTGGCGGAGGAACTTTCCATGGAGGAGGTGGATCATATATGGGAATCCACATATGAACGTTGTCCATACCCTATTGCGCTTCAGTGGCATATTGCCAATTCCGCCTTTCGCGATTATGAATCATTTGGACCGCTACTGAAGACGATTGTGGAAGGTGGCATCCATTCGGTCAAACGACGACACCAGTTACTGGGTCTCTACCGTGAGATTGCCACAAACCTGGGTGTAAAAGTAGGTGCGGTTATTATATTTCAGGATGTACTGAATATGCTTTACGGTTCATTGTATCCACATATCCCCGGTACAGTCCTGTTGGCCGTTCGCCTTTTTACCATGGAGCCTATTGACATTGCCCGTACATTCTTGATCAGTGAACCACCCCAGTTTTCGCTGGCACAGGAAATCTATAGCAGCTTTCGTACGGGCGATCCAGAGGGTCTAAAAAAGTGGGCCTTCACTGTGTCAACATTGCTGCTTATTGTCGGTACGCATGCAAACGACCCGGAATCTTCGGTGGATACGCCTATTTTGCCGTTGTACTACGCCATTAAGGAGGTCCCTCATGATGAACTTCAATACATACGGGAAATGCCTCCAAATGAGTGGTACGTATTTCCGTTTCTTGCTTTGGTACGTCCTAGAGTTGACTGGACAGATGAAGAGGCCTTCCCAATACCGGATAACGCGGTGTTGTTTGAGATCCATAATGCCGCGGATGGGTTGGATGTAAGTGACCTCTCGATGTACCCTTATGATCGGGAGTGGCTTTTGCCTCTCTTCTCATCCTTCCGCGTCAACCACGTCAAGGTGTATGATGACCGAAATAGTCTTACACATGTCGTTATGTATATGCATGGTTGTCTACATGGTTCAGTGAAAGAACCTATGATTCCCGAGGAGGACCGCGCCGTGACGGCCGTGATGGTGAGGAAACTTCGAACGGAGGCGGAAAAAATTATTTATCGTGCCCACCAAATTGCCGAGCATGCATATCTAAACGTCACCCTTAATGAGCGACTTCGGCTCCATCCACAGACACTACTGCGGGCACAATATGTGGATCATTACTTTGAGGTGAAACGCTTTTCGCAGGCCAAAACGACCGTCGAGGAGGGACTTGTCAACTGGCAGGTCTGCACGACACCGGCACAGTTGATCGATCCTGTGGAAGGTGTCATTAAGCATGCGGTGTGGGAATTCATGCCACGTAAGTTTGCCCTTTTGGCAGAACAGTACTTTCTTAGCAAAACACGCTTCAAGAAGGTGTTTGAAGCGCAAGGCATTTTGCTGGACTTTGCGGGATATGTATGCGACTACGGCGGGAAGGGACCACGACCGATGCGGCGACTTTTACGAAAACGTGTCACGCATGAGGCGCCGTTGCCAGTGTTTGAGGAGTTGAATTCATGAAGGTGGAACCACACACACACAAAAAAAAAAAAGGGAGAAAAAAAGAAAAAGGGGAGAAGACAAAAAGACATGACAACTTCTTATGTGTGTTTGTTGGGTTTTATATCGGATGTAAATTACGAAACAAGTTGAAATATGGAATTATCAGAAGGTTGGCGAAGAAAAAAATAAAATAAAACAAAATAAAATAAAAGTTAGAGGGGAAAAGAAAGAGAGAAAGAGAGAGAGAGAGAGAAGAATAGAAGGAAGTCTTCACATTATGATGTGGACGAGATGACCCCCCCTTTGGATGTCTTCTTTTCAAAAGTTCATATTTATGTACTTTACATCATTACCACACTTTTTTGACTTCTTGTCTTGTATGATGTGAGAACCCATTTGAATTTTTGCGGTATTGGGTTCTCATCGCTCCTTCTTGTTCTACATGTGTTTGTCATGCATGACAGAAGTCTCTTTCTTTCTCTTTCACTCTCACTGAGAGGGAAACGAATACATAAATAATTGGAAGGAGAAGAAGAAGGGGAGGTTAAAGGACTGATTGTGTGGGAAGGAAAAGAGAGAGACTGTGTGTGCAGCTGCAAGATGTTGCGGCGGCACCTCGTATCCTTCCGCCTTGGCATCGGCGTTGGTGTTGGCGGCAACAAAACCCTTTCATCTTCCACGTCACTCTTTTGCGCGCAGCGTGGGGTGTTTGCGGACAAGGCACGTGCCGGCATGATCATTGCGATCGACAAGCGTTACTATCGAGTTCTGGCCAACACACGCTCGCAGAAGGGGCAAAATGCCGCCTCTTTCAACATAAAACTTGTTGAAGTAGGTACGGGGCGCAAGAAGGAAGTGACGGCAGGACAGGGGCATGACTTTGCACAGGTGCGGGCGGAGCGGGTGCGACTCCTGTTTAGTGGGTTTGATGATGACGATATGGCATGTTTTGTGTACCCAGAGCACGCCTCAGATGCGGGAAAGGAGGTGAACATTCCTGGCGACTCTCTGCCAGATGTGCAGCAGAAGTTTCTTTGCTGTGGCATGCCTGTTGACATTCTACACATCATTCCTGACGATGAGGACTCGCCTGACGCAAAGGATATCTGGGCAGAGGTGGTAATGCCGTCTAGTTACAACTACACGGTCGAGAAGATTTCTTTAAAGGGGATGTACAAAATGGCGTCATTCAAGGAGTGTGATGGCGTTGTTAGCGTCAATGACTCTGTGCAGATAAACGACAAGGTGAAGGTGACAATCAAACCAGACGGCACAGTAGCGTTTGGTGGTCGGGCATCCTGATAGGCGTGCCCGTGGCGTACATGCACAGATATTTACAAGGATCTATCCATTGGTGGGTAACAGCCGCAGGGAGGATTTCTGCACTCATGATGGATGTATGTATATATGTACCCGTACTTCTCTTTCCCTCTCTTTCCCTTATCTTTTTTTTTTTCTTTTTTTTTGCAATATGGCTATATGAGGGTGTATTTAAATACACACATATACCCTACACCATACAAGGAGAAGGAAGCTACACGAAAAGACAAAATATTACCCACACATCGCTGAAAACAGCAGCAGAAGGCAGGCTATTATTATTATTATTAGTATTATTTTTTTTTTTTTTCACTTGGCAATGACAGCCAGTGCCACGAGTGCGGATACACCTGTAACTCGGTTGCCGCCTTACTTCCCTACCAGTCTTAAGGAATGCACAGCATCGACAGACCTCTTTTTCTCCTGTTTTGAGCAGAATGCTCTAATGAAAACCCCAACCGACACAACAAGTGCCAAACGGGCACTGCTGCAATGCCAGTCGGAGCTGCGCGCATATATGACATGCATGGAAAAACACCTTGGCGACGGCAAAAGATCGTGGTGGAAGTTCTGGTAGCCTCAGCACCACCACCACCACCGTCAACAAAGACGGCGATGACATGGAAGCGCAAAAGGATAAAAAGAGAGTGGGAAAGCAAAAACAAAAAAGAAGACGGGTAAGTGAAAGACTTGTACACATGTGACGCACTGCTTGATATGGCGTGTGTTGTCCTCACCCATCCCCAATGCCAGCAGTTACTTACATTTCTTTCATATGAAGGAGCGCGGTGCTGTCCTTGCCGAACCAGCACTCACAGAGACATGTACACTGCTATAACGCCACAACATCCGTTGTTTTCGCATTTTCTTCTCTCCTTCATAAACATGATTTATTGCCAAAAGTACACACAAAGCAAAACAAAATAGTGGGTAAATACAACACAGAAATGGAATTTGGCGAGGGCACCGCAATGGCTGCCGATCACCACGACAGTCAGGCAGCATTCCCACTGGCAGAGGAATATGTCGTGGAGCCGACGACCACGGAGGAGATGCACGAGCTACTTGACATGATTGTTAGCGCCTGTGACCATCTGCAGGGTTTGATACGCGATCGCCTTCCTGTCACGCAGAGGGAGGTGTCGAAGCTTCGGAAGGCCTACTGGCTTGCAACGGGCGAGACGGAGAGGCTGCGCAGCCGCAGTGGGTCGAGAAGCTCCATATTTGGCAACGCTGACTGTGGCGGTGCAGGCATTCAGCCCCTGCACCCCGGCGTGGAGGGCCGCAGGCGGCAGGACGGGAAGATCCTCGCGTGTGACTGCGCGCTGCGACAGCTCGAGGAGTACGTGGGTCCGAGGCCCGAGGCGCATACGTTTGACCACGACGATGATGCGGGGAATGAGGGCGAGAGGAGCAGAATGCGGCGCTTTTTTTGCGTTCCGGTCGAGCGCCGCCTCCAAACGCTTTTGGTGTCGGCGTTTCTGTTCTTTACACTTATTCCTGTTTCCCTTGCGCTCACGGTGGCGCTGCTGCTGAATTGGTGGACCATGCCGTTCATGGTGGCGTACCTCGTGCACATCTTCACCTTTGGACAGCCCAGGCATCCGTTGAGGAAGAATACCGCCTTTACACGACTAAAGATATGGCGCCACTACGGCGCCTACTTTCCCGTGCGCCTTGTGATT